TGTGCATAGTTGTGCCATGGGCCGCGACTGCCTGCTTTCTTTACGTGTGAGTGATAACTTTTATTTTCCAACCTCATCACCTCTTAGTCCTTTTGTTCAACTTACTCTCTTACCTTAGGTACTCATTTCTTCGGCCTTTTATTTTTTCATTGACTAATCTATTTCTTTGGATTACAATATAACTGCAGCATGGATTTTGATGGTCATTGGTATGTAATCTTATATCCACTCTCATGCTAGTATATAATTTCTTTTATTGTTTGCAATACATTCTCATTACACTCTAGGATTTTTAAGTAAGAGTTCTCCCACTGCAGGAAAGGAGAAATTGAAGAATGCCAATTTCGGACGTGAGTATNTTTTCTTTCTCTATCCCACACAGATATTTTCTTCTGAATTCATTAATCTTATTCCATCCAAATTCTTACTTGATACCTCCCAAGGAAATATTTTCTTTGGATCCCAAATTGGGGATAGGTCAATGTGAGCTTATATATGTCATTGTGCCTTTACTTTCCTTTCCATGACTAGTATGACACATTTTTATGTGAAATTGTGTTGGTCTTATTGATACTTTTTTCAATAGAATTTCCAAGTTATCATGTGGTTTGTTGTTATTGTTGTTATTGCAGCAAGTATGCTAGAAAAGAGTTGGATTCCCTGAGGAAGAAAAGGTTCGAGTTATTTATTTCCTCTTGGGCATTCTCTCTAGTTAGGTTGAAGAGGGTATTGTTAGCTGTTGTTTTGTCACTGATGTGATGTTTGTTGATAAACTATTTGCAGGGAGGAAAAGGAGCGTTCTGTTGAGAGGTATGGATGTAGTTCCTAATTAAAACTTAAACAGCAATGATTTTAAAAATACAGAACTTAAAAGCCAACCTTAACTACAATGGTTTTGTTTTTTACAAAGGTCTAAGCAATCATCATGCCTTAGAATGCATAAGAGCAACTTGGTCACAACTCACAAGTCTATTCTACTATAGTTCTATTTTTTTTATTCTTTTATGTATTGGTGCGTTGATTCAATTCTATCATATGAGAAAATATGAATGATGTGGTTGTAATTAGGGGTGTCCATCAACCTTTTTGGTTAGCGAAACGATCGATATTCAAAAACCAAAATATTCATTCATCTTTTTTTAGATAATTGGATAGTCCGGCGTATCAATAAAACTTGAACTTTGACCAAATTGTACTTTTCGGTCAGTTGAATCGAAATATGAGGATGGAGAACATTATATATTTGAGGAACAATTAAGGACTGCGATCTTCAAGAGCACTAGTGTTTAAATATAATATAGGCCCATTTGGTGATTTCTGAAACAAACCATTACAGACCGAAATAAGTGAGTAAGGTCAAAGTGTAATCCAAAAACCAAAACAATATTGTAAAACTAAACAAACTTCATTATTTATGTCAGTTATTACGGTTCGAATTGAAGGTTGAACCTGTGAGTAAAATCTCGGATTGCCTAGTCCTGTGGTTTGTTATCATATTATTATGTGAGTTTTTGACACATGAGATGTTTCCTGTGCAACTCAGGTTACAAGCAGAACTTGCATGTGAAAATGCGAGGAGAGCAGCTAGTGGAGTCTGAAGATGGTTCTACTTATTGTAGTACTTAGGCAGAAAACATATGCTTTTGTGGACATGGAGTGTGAAAATATGTTAACTAGCATCTCTCTACTTGTTTGGTCTTTTGCAGTGGTATATATATATTTACTGTCTTGTGGCGTTCACCTAAATCTTTGGATTCTTGTATTTTCTGGTTTTATGATGTCTTATGTTGGCCTTTCTTATTATCTTTNTGATTCCTTCTTAATATTTAATAGTAAAATAATATTGATTCTTTTACGGGAAAAAAAAGAAGAAAAGTTGTGGACATAAAAAGAAAAGAAAAAAGGGAGTGGAAAAGAATAGAAAGGCCGTATTCCTACGGTTTTTGAATTTTTTTTTTTGTAAAACGTATTCCGTGAGTACGGGTTCCTTTGTAAGAAAAATGTAAAAAACTGTTTTACCGCTTTTACAATTTACTGAATTGTGGACTGTACAGGCAGTTGCAAGAAGACGGTCATAAATTACAAATAAACTCTAAATAAATCAAACATAAATTTAAAAGAAAAAGTTGGTAAATTTACAAGTAAATTTTATTATTTATGTAAAATTATTATTATTATTTTTAAAAAACGTCGTATCTATTCAAAACGTTTCAAAAGTTTAGGTAACTTAGCCTTTAAATTAAAATAAAGTGATGTGTTTTCGGCGCTACATGTTGTGACGGCCCAATACTCTGCCTCCCGTCTGGAAATAGGTAAATAAATCTCTCTTTCCCCGTTGAGGTTTTATGTTTACCGGCGAAGGTCGGGGAAGCGAGTTAGCCGGCGGAAAGCCTTGTAAGGCCGTCAAGTCACACGATCTCAGTCTCTCCAGGCCGATCTCCGGTAAATCCGTCGCCGAGGACCTCGTGTGACGCGGCAGACGCAAAATCGAAACCAAAATATACATTATTAATCTTTTTTCTTTAATGTTAATAAAGTTTTGTTTGATCTCAAGTAACTTATTTCCCAAGAAAGTTTGTTGCTTGCGTTTAAAATGCATAGGTTTTCTCTCTTCTGTTTTTATGTGTTTAATGGATCATTAAATTTCAGATAGGCCAATAAAGTTTAATCTCATACAGTTTTTACATTTTACTGTATCTTCAGGTTTCTCTTGGCCATTATTGCTTGCCATGTCGCATATGATCAGGTTTATAATTGTTTTTGTTGGCAATGGTGCACACTTTTGTTGTTGTTGTTGTTGTTGTTGTTGTTGATGGATATATATTTATTTATTGTGTTGTGTTTCACAATTCAGGCGCGCGACAGCTTACCTGACACCTTCAGGTCAGTTTTGGTCTAAAGTCAGGTAATACTTGTGCTATTCCCACCGATTGATGTGCCTTTTTGTTTTACTTATGAACGTGGGATATCTGGCTCTTTTTGTGGAATATTGTTTGGAGACTGTTACGTCGTGCTTGTACTAACTTTTATCCATAACCTGATCATTTGTTTATGTGTATAGTGCATTTCGAGAAACTAATAGAGGGATTACCACTGAATGTTTTGTCAAGCATTTACTGGGATCGATCTTTGTCTATGGTTTAACCGACTAGTAAGTATCTTCTTGCTATGCCTAAGTTTATCGTTGTGGCTATGTATTTATACAAGCTGTGAACTGACTTTCTCTCTCTCTCTCTCTCTCTCCCCCTATACAACAGCGTTGATTATCGTAACGTGTAAGTTTTTATATTGATCTCTTGTGAATAATTAGATGTTCCCCTTATTGGTATCCTTTTCATCCTTTACAAACTCTCATTGCAGCAAAGGAAATGGACAACTGTTGGAGATCTGTGATGAACTGCGCCGTGAACGGTTTGGTTTAAGAATCTTTACTTTTCTGTTACTGAACGTAACTATTAAAAGCAAATGCTATCGAGTATCACCAATCCTTTATTCAAAGCTCTGAACAAGGAAAGGTGTTAATTTAAATGGGTGGAAATTAAGTTATTTAGGTAACTAGTTATTGTTTTCCTTCCATGCTACATCATGTTGGTAAAAATCAGATGATGATGATTGCGTTCCATTTTGTACTCAAAATTGCCTACTCTGACTTTATTTTATTTAATTTTGTTCTGTTTGAGGNAAAAAAAAAAAAAAGTAGAATGCTTTAATGACTTGTTTTTGTCTATGATTATTTACAGGGAGCTTTACTTCAATGCCATGGAACAGATGAATGAATTAAGGTTTGTACTATTGAAGAGTCTAGCTGCTTGATGCTTTACTTTTGGTCTTTATTTTTATGTTAGACAAACCCTCGTATTTAGAATACAGGAACTGTGTTGATGCTGCATGTGTTGGTTAATTTTTATGGCAAAAATTTGGTTTTGGTAACTAAGTTTTTGACATAACATATTTTATATGCCACTCAGGTCACAAGCACCGAAGGCGAAGAGTTGGGAATGGTGACTGTAGCAATGTGTGTTTGTGCAACACTGTTGTTTTTGGCAGTTTCGGGTGTAAAACTCAACTATGACTTGTTGCTTTGGGTTTAAAACTAAACTATACATAATTTATCAGTTTGTACATATTAAAGTTGTAGCTTTTAATATTGACTCGGTTTTCTCTCAATTGAGGCATTTTTATTGGAAAGACTCGAGTGGCTATTAGATTTGGATGTAAAAAAATGTTCATTTGTTTCTTCTGTTAACATTTATCAGTGAAACTGTCAAATTTGGAATGAAATAATAAAACTTTCATATCTCATTTCATTGTAAAAATTTCACTAAAACTCAATCAAAAAAAAAAAAAAAAAAAAAGGTTGTGAT